TTTTAATTCAGTATTTACTTGTCAAACTAGTAATGGGACTCAATATTTAATATTGATCTTTGATAGTATAGAATTTGCTTAATAAATCATTCTAAATACTTATGGTTTACGCTAATTTATATTAATTAAATTAAATAACCTTTCAACTTTTATATTCTAAGAAATTTATTAATATTTTGTTTAAAATTGTTTATTTGTTGAGGCGAGTCGCATAAAGTTGTTCCAGTGTGTTTTGTGATCGATATGTCATCTCCCTATGTTTTTTGATCTTCATTCATTAGCTAGCTGAGTTTATTCCCTGGCATATGCTCTAAAGGTGATATCTGTACATATTTATGGTAAAAAATAATAAGTTTACCACTACATATAGCCATAAATGGCTACGAATCCTGAATATGTTCCAGAAGTCGAGGAAGAAACGGGTCGATCTGTTGAAGATTCTGCTAAAATATATTCAGCAGATGATGCAGATGGAAACCAAACTACTATTGAGCAGCCAAAAAAGTCGATAATTTTACAGGACACCACCACTCGAGTTTCAAACAAGAAAGTTAAAATCATTGATCCCAGGCAAACTAATGAGAACGATTCTGATGATGATGATACTAATTCTCAACATATTAATATAGAAGTATCAAGTGAAGACCAGCCATGTGATCTTGTGATAGAGTCTACCGGAGCTACTTTAGATCTACCAGATGAAGCTAATCTTACTGCCGATAGAAAGAAAAGCAGAGAAGAGCGCAAGAAGGAAAGAGAAAAAAAGAAAGAAGAAGAAATGTTAAAAAAATATCAAGCCGAGCAGGAAGCAAAACAAAAAGCCTCCGCTAAATCTAAATGTGGTCGCTGGATAAAGCATAATCTCAAGGTTAGGAATTATTTATTCAAACTTATTTTTTTTAAATTTCAGATAGGTGAGGGTGGGTATAAATTTGTTTATCGGGGCTACGATAGTTTTGAGGCTAGGAATGTTGCCTGGTGCGAATTTAAAGTGAGTTATATCTTTTTATTCATCAAAAGTGTGAACACGTTGATACCAAGGAAAAACGCCAGGCCATGTTTAGAGAAACCGAAATAATGTTAAAGATGAATCATCCCCACATTGTTCGCTGCTTTGATGTTTTTCGTGAATGGATTAATGTTGAGGATCCTAATAATTCACTTGAAGAAAAGGGTGTTGTCATAATTCAGGAATTAATGAGCGCAGGGACTCTAAAAAGGTATTTCAACATTTCTTTTAATTTGCAGTATGATTCGTAAAAATTTTTCTGAGGGCCAATGTATTCTAAAATTTCCACTAATAACTCGGTGGTGGCATCAGATCCTTGATGCTCTTCGGTATATGCACCATAAAATCCAGCCTCCAATACTTCACCGTGACCTCAAAGCTGAAAATTGCTTTCTTTATGGTGCATCTAATGAAGAATATCTTAATGTTAAAGTTGGAGATTTCGGGCTCGCAGCTCATGTCAATGACTCTGGAAGAAAGACTATGCTTGGTTCGTAATTTCTTTTAATCCAATTCTTTAGGTACTTTTGGATTCATGGCTCCTGAAATATTTGATGAAAAATACGACGAAAAAGTTGACATTTATGCTTTCGGGATGTTGATGCTCGAGGTCATGACTAATAGGACTCCATTTGATGAATGTGACACACTTATGAAATTTGCTGCAAAAACCATGTCTGGCCTGGGCCCAGATGTTATGAATAAAGTCTCTAACCCAACGCTTAGACCCATAATTAGTGCTTGTATTCATCCTCTCACTTGTTTTCGTCCAACTGCGGAAGAACTATATTTTCATCCACTGTTTCAGGTTTGTCTTTGATTTATCCTCGCGTGTTTAGATGCATTATTTGTATGTACATGTGTTTTCATATATTTATTGGTATTCATTGCTTAGCTTTCTCCTACAATTGAATTTATATTTTAGTAAAGTCTTTGTTAAGTGTATTTGTTGCGCTTTTTCTCAGGTGGCTCTTGTTTAAGAACCCATGTATGTTTGACTATCCGATTAAATCGAAATCATTTTATACTACTATGACAAGTAGAGATTATTTTCTTCATATATGCTAATATTACGTTTTATCCTTTTAGTCATTTTATAATTCAATTACTTTTTTCCCATCCATTTGTTATTCACCTTTTAGAGATACCAAGAAGGCGACGACTCTTGGGTATGAGATCTTCTTTTCATCCCTTCTTGT